ATCCATCTTTTACAAGATCCCAAAGACCTTGACACCTGAACAAAACTTTCATTTGTTTGCACTAATTCTCATAGTTGTCTACTTTCAGAATTGGTAGAGTTGCTGGATAATTTGCATTCCTATAATTTGTCATCATGAATTCTTTTTCTTCTCAATCGTTCTTGACTGATACTTCCCTTGAATCGAAACCGAGTTCTGATATCAGATGTTGGAAACCCACCAAATATTTATGATGAATTTCTATCAATCTTGATGCTTAAGATTGATATCACCATACAATGACAATGAATTATGAAAAAAGAAACAAAGAAGATAATTATTTTCTGCAGAGTTTCTCTCTTCCCATAAACTGTGGAAAACTTTATTATTCACTTTGCAACTGTAAAATACTGTGAATGACTTAATTGACTTAATTGCAAACTTAGGGGCTACTCTCTATTTATAGATTTAGCTTACTCCTTAAGTCCAAAACTATAAAAGCCCAAAATACTTATTTTGATACTAAATCAAATCTATTCTATTTTAGATTTAAATTAAATCTATTTAAATCTAAAACAAATATAATCTCTTCGACACATATAGTTTAGACACTATGAATTACAATTTAACAATTTTTGTATGATAATTGAATGACAACTCTTATGCGTTTATGTGAATTAGTGAGAGTAAGAGAAAGATTGAGTACATATCATAATGATTTATCTCTTTTGATTTATCAATCTTGAGTTTTGAGAAAATAAATTATACTTAAACATAATCATGAAAGCATTTTGGTAAATAGCGGTCAACTTATATTATTATTATCAGAACAAATAAAATTTGTTATATACGGTAACAAGACAATTATTTTATGCAAAATTCATGGTTTCTAACTTGCTTCAATGTTTTATGCAAAATACATGGTTTCTAACTTGCTTCAATATTGAATTCTTTTAAAACTCTAAAGATTTTATAATTTATAAAGGATATTTAGTTCAAAACATATTTTTATATCAAATTTTTAAATTTATCGGTACCAAAATTATTGATTTATATTGATAATTTCGAAATATTTGATAAAATTTAAAATTTTATTTCTATTTTTATCAATAATTTAAAAATGTGTGTTAAAATTTTGAAATGTCATTAGAATTGGTAAAATGGACTACTCGGTTCTAAATTCGCCGACTCATGCAAGCCTCAAGTTTTTTATATTCGGGTTTAAAAAACTCATATTTAAATGAATTCTATTTTTACTACCTAGACCCAGTCCTGTCTAGATTACGGGCTATCACGCTCTAAACGGACATCGGTCCTAAATGAGTCAATCTTTTAAAAATATTTAAAAAAATTCTTATTTTTATAAGAAATCACACAATTGCATGTAATAATATATATATATATATATATATATATATATATATATATATATATATATATATATATATATATATATATATATATATATATATATATATATATATATATATATATATATATTAAATTAAATTTCATATCTAAAATTATGATTTCTAAATAATCCATATAAGTTAACAATTAAAATGTAAAATAACACACTAACTTAATTTAAATTATCCAAAATATATCATAAATTATTTAATGTAGCACACAAAATTAAATAATTTGTTCCAATAAATTTTCTGTACTTTCTATATAATTATATTAAGATGAAACCTTTTTGTTTGAAATTAAGTCAAATCAGCAATTTTTATTTGATATACCTTTATAATACAAAAAAAATAAAAATAAATACATAATACGCATATTGTTTAGAGCATATTTAGAATTTCACTACTTTAGACATTGAAATTGTCCATTTATATCAATTGACCATTTATATTACATCGACTCAAAAATAAGATATAAATTATTTATCCAAATTATTTATATCTTTCTTCACTAACACCATATCTAAAATTTCATATAGAATGAATTTCAATTATGAATACTGAATTGTGATGATATTGAACTGGCCGTAGCTGAGTTACTTAGTCCAATTTAAAAAAAATCTTTTGTTGAATTACGAAAAAAAAAATATATTAAAATTTTTAATTTTTTTTAAATTAACGGATTACCCATAATCCATATGAGCTGATTCATATTTTTTAGAACTTTTTTAGACCATACTAAAAAGCTCGAAGGTAAATAAGCTCAAAAAATAAAACATAAATCTTAACTTTTTTTAATCCGATAAACCGGTTCATAGACTTCGACCCTTTTTAACAACTCCAGTGAAACATATATATATATATATATATATATATATATATATATATATATATATATATATATATATATATATATATATATATATATATATATATATATATATATATATGACCCAACAAACAAAAAGGAAACTAATAAGAAACAATGGTGCCACGTGGAAGATGAAAGCATGACAATGTGGTTGTGACATCTCCAGAACACCACTGAATGGATGATGTTTGGAGTTTCATTTCATTCCCTCATCACAACAACAACATCTCTAACATTCATTCAACACTAAGTTGAAAAATGACTGTATCTTCTTCTCTTTCTCTCCCTCACTTCCATTCCTCCTTTCTTTCTTCCCCTCTCAAATCTCTCTCTCCCGCTCCATCCTCTAGAAATTTCATTATTCAACCAAAACCTACATTTTATCCACGTATTAGAGCTCTTGAACTTGATCAAAACACGGTTTTTCATTCATTCCCTCCTTTTTCTTCTTCATTAATTCAATATCTTTTCGTTCCTTCTTATAATTATGAACGTTTTTTCTTCCATTTCAGGTTATAGCTATAACTGTTGGTGTTTTGAGTGTGGCTGTTGGAATTGGCATTCCAGTGTTCTATGAAACACAAATTGATAATGCAGTCAAGTGTTTTTACCTTTTATTTATTATATTAGTATCATATGTTAATTAATGTTTTGGATAAATATTTATTTATCTATTTGTTTCAGGCTAAGAGAGATAACACACAGCCATGCTTCCCATGCAATGGATCTGGAGCTCGTAAGTAAAACATTGTTCATACGTAGTGTTTATGGATAAGTGTTTGTTGAACGTTATGATAGGTTGTTGCAATTTTTGTTTTTATTGAAACTTTTTGTGATGCTTATGATTATGTCTGGTTAAACCTTTTTGCTTGGTGCTGGTTAGTAGTAGACATTAGGCTGTGAACGTAATCTGTTCAATTCCATATTAGGTTGACAGTTTGAAAATGTTACATTTTGGCCAGAGAAATGCAGATTTTGTTTGGGAACTGGCAATGTGACAGTTGAACTTGGTGGGGCTGAGAAGGAGGTTTCTCGTTGTATAAACTGTGATGGTGCTGGTTCACTGACATGCACAACTTGTCAAGGTTCAGGAATTCAACCTCGTTACCTTGACCGTAGGTACGTATGGGGTTCTGCAGATCGGGTTTTCTCCTCATTATGTATACTGTGATAATTGTCATTCAGCGCACGCATCGTGGAATAGGCTTGAAAATTATTAACACTGTTCTGTGTTTAATATTTGACCAGAGAGTTCAAGGATGATGACTGAGACAAGCTAAGATTGAGAGGCGCTGATTTTGTATTTAATCGCCATATTATTGTACTCATTCAATTTTTTCGATCTCTGTATACACCAGATACAACTAAAAGAATCGTGTTGATGTTTACATTTGGTTTGCATTTTAACCAATGATATTAGGCCACTCCCTTCCATGACCTATCTTTGTAAAATTTTGGTATTTGTAAACATTATATATTGAATATCCATTTGTAAAGAATGGCCCCGAGATACTATGCCTAAATTAGTTTCATTGATGTTAGTTCTGTTTCTGTTTTTGTTTATTAAAGTATTAGAAGGATGATAGGCTTTAGTAGTGTGGATAGGGTGAGAGGTTTCACTAAATTACTCAAGGTTATTGGTTCCAATTTTGTAGTCATTGTAACAACGATACCAGAAGCATGATTGATCTGTTAATTGAGAAGTAATCTCTATGCTGTAGTATAACCTGATATAGCTAGAAGCCGTCCCACTTTTGCTTTTGATTGCTGCAAAACTGATTATGAGCACAGCTAGTTAGCATTAAGTAAGAATGGCCTTTAGTTGCATTCTGCTTTATGGGACTCTAAGAATGAAATGCAAAATCAAGTTCCCTTAGTCTCCACTTTTTACTTGATTGATTGATGAGACGTTAGAATGAGTTTTCTTGTGCATATGCCCATCAAGAGAAGTTACAAGATGCACTAATGTGGCCAATATCCAAAGATTTCCACTATTTACTTTTACTGACGAGATATTAGGAGCAGTTTTCTTGTGCATACGTCCACCAGGAGAAGTTACAAGATGCACTAATGTGGCGAATATCCAAAGCATCTCTGCATATTTTAATTCACTGAAATCTATTTAAAATATTCATTTGTGGATACATACGGCCATTACATACATACACATTGGACAACGATCGAACTTTGAACTAAATGATTGAAAGATCTAAGCATCTATAACTTGTCTCACACCATGTTGGTGAAAAGTGAAAACTGAGTAAAAGATACCTTAATATGTAAGTAAATAAACCATAAGATACCTTAATACCCTTTCCTTTTATCAGAAGAATGAACTAGGAAGAAGTCTTTTTTTTTGCCATCATCTCTGTCATTACAGACCAAATGTTTCTGAAAGAAAATTCTTTTCCCTTATGCTCAGAAGGCTATAGAATTAAAAAGAATACAAAGTTAAATCTACAAGTTCGATATAAAATGCTGTCATAAATCATAAACATATCATAAAATTTTGCAAGATACCACTTGTTTCGAAGATACATGTAAGATAAAATGGATCATCAACAACATCATATCTGGAGAAATAACTTTAGGAATCATGTTCAGATGAAATGGCTCTTGTAAGGAGTTGAGAAAATTTGCAGAAACAAAAACAAAATTACTTACACCAAAACAAAAAGATGGGTATACTAAGTCTATAGCCTAAGTAAATGGAGCCAACTTCAAATTGGCATAAATATAAACTAACAGAAGGAACTTTTACTGCATTTTCCTTGTAACCATGCCAGCCTAATCTTAACACTTTTTAACGAAATGAATATCTCTCTTAAATTGGGATCCTCAAAGAGATCCAGTGCAGAAAAGTAAAGATGTTGATCAATGCTTTGTATTTCATCCAGAGCCTTGATGCAATTTGTTATGGAAAATCTATCATCGCTAACACTTGAAACAACCGCCCTTAACCTTGAAACTGAAACCATCTGTAACAAGGCTTCAGCCATAGCATTGCATGTGTCTTGATCCAAACTAGTAGTCTCTGTCTCATTAGGACGTTTTCTTTTCCTATCAAGAGAACTCTTTGTCACTTTTTCAACATTTGAGATATTCCCTGGAATGGATTTTGAGGATGATGGATTCTCATAACGAGAGACACCAATTTCTGGACATGAAGTCAAGCCATTAGCACCGATACCGACAGTTTTATCTAACTCTTCATAATGACTAGATTGGGCGTATTTCCCATCTGCGGGCGAGTCTGTGAATATTGAACAGAGCTGCTCATATATCGGACAATCTTTCCCCTTAACTGTCTCATTCCTAGGCTGTGTCTGTACAGGAAGCTTAACAAATTCGTATTAAAGTAAACAAATCAATTAAGAGAATAATATAAGTAATCGCAACCGCTCATGAGATAATAAACTGCTGACTTTACGTGCATAAGGATAATATTATCATAAAGGAACTTTACTTACCCCAATGTCTTCCCACTGATCAAAGCCAATGTAAAGGGGATCGTCTATTACAAAGCCATTATTTTGATCATTAGTAGGCTTCAAATTATTGAAGCGTGTCCGAAGAACATCTAGATGTTTTCTCAATTGATTATTATTGAAATTAAGATCTGTTTGCTTATTAAACTCATCACGAATGTGATTCCACGTTTTCTTGTCAAAAACATCGTTTTGTCTGTTCCCGAGTTGAATCTGCTTAACAACCAAGTCTGCAAATATCTTGTCAAGGGATGCTGTCCATCTTGTCCTCGAACGCTCTTGCTTGGGTTGATTACTGGGTTCAAGTTCCATCTGTACCACCTGCATATGAATGCTTAAAATTAAATAATTTGTTCAATAATATTCTCTTGAAAACACTGTTTGCATTATTACACTAAAAGTGAAGAAAATATCTTCGCTAAAAAGCTTATACTACCTTACCCAAGTTAAGATCAACAATTTCATTTTTACAGTAGATTCACAACTATCTCACAGGGTCCTCTGATTTCATAAAACTATTTAGACATTCATCAATCAGTTACTCATCCCCTATTAACAATGGAATTTACATAAACCCTACCAATTGCTGCGGAATTTTGGATTAGAATCCAATTCACAAACTGTCTAATCATTTGTGACAACTGTAATTGGTAATTCCTACACTAACATTATTAACATTTGCAGCCAAATGAAACATAAAAACTGAAAACAAAAGCTACTTAATTTTGAACTGGAATTAAATATTCATCCAAACAAGATAACCGCTATGGCAATAAACATTGGAAAGGTAAAACCCTAATAATGAAGGTTTTGAAATTGGATACCTCGCCTCAACGTATGAACAATGTATCGTGGAATGAAACTCAGCGAAAGCCACAAGAGACGAAGATGAAAGGAGGAATTAGTGTAGAATTATGATATTATTATTAATTATTATGCGTTTACTATATTATGTTAATTTTAATTAAATATTTTATTATATATATATATATATATATATATATATATATATATATATATATATATATATATATATATATATATATATATATATATATATATATATATATTGCTTTTTAATATAATTATTTATATGTAATACTGTATAAGTTATTTTGTTAAGTATTTATCTCATTTTATGTTGTTTTACACATAAATGAAGTTTTAACTTTTATTTTTTATTATGATTATTATAGTTGTTAGCTAAAGATTTTTTTTTGTCAATTTTTATAAAATAGCTTATATTTATTGGTCAATATGATTGAGTTTTGTTCCGAGTAGAAAAAGAAATGTGTGATGAAGGAATGTGTTTTTAAGAGTTTTTAGAAATGTAGTTTGAGAGTGAAATTAAATAATATATTTTATCAACGTATGGTGAGGTTCATATATGTCGTGTGGTTGAAACTGTCTCAGTTTAAGAACGTTTGTGATGTTAGAATCTGATTCTCAAGTTTTAAGGAAGTTTCACTAGCCCATCTGTTCTATTTGAAAAAGTTCTAGATCCGTCCTTCACAATTGTGTATGCCGTATAGACCTTTGATTGACTCGAAATAATTGTCACATAAGTCTTTGTTGTTACATGTATGGTAGTGTAATGATTGAGGTTGTCAGATTATCATATATTATCGTCTTGTGCTCCTCGAACAAGCCTTTACTTTGCAGAGGTGGAAGTGAAAAGCTCTGGTGAATGTGAGTAGGTGGTCTTTGAAACACGGGCATTAAATTTTAGCCTCGTCACCAAAAGATTATGTTCATGCATGGTTTTATGTTCCTAGAGTATAGAGTCGCACCGCCGTTTAGAGTAGTGCCGTTATAATTTCGAGGTTGATTTTCCATTGTTGATTTCATATTCTAAGTCCCCTTTGTTATGGGTCATAGACTTGTCCTTTTCGTCTTCTTATATAAGGATGACCACTTTCTTCGAACCATTATTTCACCTTCTTACTCAAATGTTCTACTTCTCACAAATTTTTCTCTGCTCTTCTTAGATTCAAGTGATACTATTTGATCTGCTCATCCGTATCTACTTCCTCGATTTGTTTTCCTTTGTCATTTATAAATTTCTTAGTGGTTTCTTCTTGTCTTATTTGCTTCTGACTTTGAAATTTGTCCTAAATATTATTTGTCTTTCGCTACCTCTTCATCTCATTATTGTTGTTGTTATTTTTCTTTAGACACAAATTATCCAAAACCAAACAACTCCTTAGGGTGCCAAAAGTTGGTCAATGTCGTCCAAAATGCACACAAAGTCCATTCGTATTGGGCCTAGGCCAAAGTGTCCAAACCAAAGCACATTTAACAAGTACATCTATTAATATAAAATAAATATAATGATAAAAAATGAGAGAGAAAAATAAAAGAAAAAATGATAAATGCACGAATGCAGGTTGTACCGATTGTTTACGCTCCAGAACCCAACCTTCAAGGAGAGTCTCCGATGGACATGGAGCTCGATCAAACTTCCCACCACAACAAAGGTTTTCTATTCTAGCTACAACCTTCCTTACCCATCTCTCTATCTTTATATATCAAAATGAATCAATCAAATTAATTATTTAAACCCTCTTTTTTCTCAATCACTTGCAGATGGAAAACCCGTTTTGGTAATCTTAGTTGGACCACCTGGCAGCGGAAAATCCACCTTCTGTGAAGAGGTTATGCGTTCCTCTTCTCGCTCTTGGGTTCGCGTCTGTCAGGTTTTCTTACTTCGCCTTTTACCTGTTTGATTTATTGCCTCAATGGGTTTCACTTTCACAACTTCTTTTTTGCTTTTTTATTTCAATTGTGGTAACTAATACCCACTAATTGAAAACTATGAATCACATAGACACTGACGTATACTAACATTGCTTGTACTTTTCTTCTTTTGCTTTAGGACACCATTGGAAATGGTAAAGCAGGAACTAAAGCTCAATGTCTAACTAGTGCAGCTAGAGCATTGAAGGATGGGAAGAGTGTATTCATTGACAGGTGCAATCTTAACAGAGAACAGCGATCAGATTTTGTAAAGCTTCAGGGTGAAACCCAAATAGATATGCATGCACTTGTACTTGACCTTCCTGCCAAGCTTTGTATTTCTCGATCTGTTAAACGATCTGGGCATGAAGGAAATTTGCAGGGTGGAAAAGCTGCTGCAGTTGTGAATAGAATGCTTCAAAGTAAAGAGCTGCCCAAGTTAAGTGAAGGCTTTAACAGAATAACATTTTGTCAGAGTGAGAGTAATGTCAAAGATGCGGTTGATACATACCAAAAACTCGGGCCACTGGATAACCTTTCACATGGCTGCTTTGGTCAGAAAAATCCAGATTCCAAAATTCAATCTAGTATAATGAAATTCCTGAAAAAGGTAGAGGTCCCGGTTGATACTGCATCTAAAGAAAATGGCATTAGAGACTCTACTTCCAAAACTCCTGGGAAGAGTGATCCCCTCTGCAAAGATATGGAAAAAATCCCATCAGCACATAACAATTCCGAGTTAGGGTCAAAGGACATTGAAGGCAAGGCTGATAAATCTTCCAGTTCCTGTCACAATCAAGTTTCTCTGGATGATACTCCAACTCTGGCATTTCCATCTATTTCAACATCTGATTTCCAATTCAACCATGACAAGGCAGCTGATATTATTGTTGAGAAGGTCGCAGAATACTCAAATAAGGTAGGGAATGCCAGACTTGTTCTAGTTGACTTGACACACAAGTCAAAAATTTTGTCCTTAGTTAAATCCAAAGCCGCAGAAAAGAAAATTGACACCCAAAAGTTCTTTACCCATGTTGGAGACATCACTCGCCTTTATTCCACAGGAGGTTTGCGCTGTAATGTCATAGCTAATGCTGCCAACTGGTAAGATTATATGATTTTGGTGTATGCAAATAATGTAATTCCAAGCTGAAATGGAAATTTAAACACATAAGAAAGTAGACCTCATAGAGGTTTATATGTGTGGCTGTTATGCGTTCTATATGGTAGGCCCTATTCTATATGTTGGGGTTTCCCCAGTCTCTAGCAGTCTGATACCAAATTTGGAAATTTCTCACCGACTGTAATTTTTTGATCAAGTTCTAGATTAAAGCTCATACTTTTTCTTCTTTGATGCTTCTGCTTTAACCAATGCATCAACTCAACTACCTTTATTTTGGTCACCCCTTTTTAATTATTTCAGTTGATATGAAAGCATTGCTTATTGATGTAAATCTCATTACTTTTGACTTATTTCCCACGGATAAAATATGTTTCAATCAACTAAACCTGTCATTCATTTTCACCTGTTCACTTGGTTTGATGAAAAAACCTTTGCATCGCTTGGTTTAATGAAAAAAACTTTTGCAGGAGGCTAAAACCTGGTGGTGGAGGTGTTAATGCATCAATTTTTGATGCCGCAGGTCCTGAACTGGAGTCTGCAACCAAAAACAAAGTAAAGACTCTTTCACCTGGGAATGCTGTTGCTGTCCCTCTACCTTCATCTTCTCCTTTGTTCACAAGGGAAGGTGTGACCCATGTAATACATGTCCTTGGCCCTAATATGAATCCACAAAGACCAAATTGTCTGAACAATGATTATGAAAAAGGCTGCAAAGTTCTCCAAGATGCTTATGCATCGCTATTTGAAGGTTTTGCATCAATTGTTAAGAACCAGGTACAGCAAAATGAAAACCTTGGGAAAAAGTCTCTGGAATTGCAGGATCAGTCTGAACAGAGTTCCAGAAATCATTCCCCAAATACTGATCAAAAGAGTAAGAGAGATGCTGATCATGGATTGGAAAAAAGCAAGAAATACAAGGGAAGTCAAGATGGTTTTGGCACGACTTTTACAGGTTCTAGGGATGAAAAGGTAGATTCAGAGCATAAAAGAAGCGACGGGAGCACGAGGAAGGCATGGGGATCATGGGCTCAAGCTCTTCACCAAATAGCTATCCATCCTGAAAAGCATAAGGATGACTTGCTTGAAATTTCAGAAGACATTGTTGTTTTGAATGATATGTATCCTAAGGTGAATTTCTTCCATTTTGATTCTTTTTTTCTTCATTATTGACATGTTTGACTCTGTAAATGTATCATACTGAATTTCCTTGTGCTTTGCAGGCACAGAAGCATGTTCTGGTCTTGGCACGGACTAGAGGTCTTGATTGCCTTTCAGACGTCCAAAACGAGCACCTTTCGGTATTGAAAAGGTTGCATGCAGTTGGTTTAAAATGGGCTGAGAAATTCTTGAGCGAGAATGCTTCATTGGTATTTCGCCTTGGATATCACTCGGTATGCAGAGTTTATATTTAAGACCTTTTTTTTTTCCCACTTCCCTCGCCCAGAAAAAGAAA